GGGAGGCCGCCTTCCATTTGGGGACACAGCCCCCAGCCCTACTGGGGTCTGCCCTTAGAAGCATAACTTCTCCCCCACATGCATCTCCCCCCAGGCCGAGGGTGCAGCGAGGGGTGCCGGCGCTGAGGCACCTTCCTGCCTCGCAGCTGCTGAGAGGAGGCGACGGGCCAGGAAGGGGTGGTGGAACAGGAAAGGGCCAGGCTGGAGGAGCAGGAGTTGCTGCAGGACTTCCCATGGTGCTGGTGGTGGTCATGGGAGTGAGCGGCTCAGGGAAGTAGGTACTGGGGGGGAGGCCCAGGCGACCAGGGGCCAGCGGGAGCAGGGCAGCCCTTGTGCCATCTCTGGAGAAACTTTCCTAAGGTGGAGCCCTTGGGAGCCCCGCTGAAAACCTGACTGCGCTGTGGGGCTGCTGAGGCCAGAACTGGGGAAGCCGCAGCAGGCCTCCGGGCAGGGCGCAGGGTGAGTCATGAGGCAAAGCCGTCCCTGCCCCAGCTCCCAGACGGCTGTTTCGACATCGCCAAGGGTTATTAGAGGCTTCTCTGACTTCTCCCATATTAATCTGGGTGCCTTCCCTGTGACTAATGAGTGCTCAGTGGGCACAGCCCAGGTATGTGCTGTTGCTGTGTCCTGAGCCCTGTCCCTGCTTCTGGATAATGCTCATTGGCTGCCATCCTGCAATGCACTCCCAGAGCCACCTTGCTCCTACTGTTATCCTGACGTTACTCAGCTGGATTAAAACACAGAGAGTTTAAATCATGTTTGCCCTTGCACCTGCCTTATCAGTGCCCTATTTTTTTTCCCCTGGAAATAACACACATGGCTTGGTTTTATCAGGATTGCTGCCTGATGGGTGGCCATGCTCATCCTCTGCCATAGTGGCACAGTGATGTTCAATGGGATCACTGCAAGTAGGCCTCCATCCACCTGTTTTTTACACTGGCAATAATCTGTTGAATACAGAGTCACAAATCACATGCTTATGTGTCACCCTTTCAGTAATGTCAAGCCAGAATGTTACTGAGTACTTCCAACTTAATGTCTGGTTTGCAAGTTTACAGCTGACTGTTTCTTCAATCGCTTCAACTTTTCTTTCCTTCCCACAGACACTGATTAAGCCTTTAGGTTGGGTGCTGGGTTGTTTGGTTTTCTCTTTAGGTTAGGACACAATAAAATATGCGTGTTGAGGAATGAGCAGGAAAAATAAGAGGTGTTTTTTTGCTTTTCACATAATAGTCTTGTAATCATGTCCACATTTGTTCCACATGTGTAAAGATTTGTCTTCATAACAAGATGTACTGATGATTTTTATAAGTTTAAGTAATTTAGATATGCTGGGATTATTAGGAGGTATCACTGGTTATTTGGAAATATTGGGATTATTGATAGATCAAGACTTGCATTTTCTTCTTTGGCATCTCATTCTGGCTACTATTGGGAACAGGAAGAAGCAGGCCACAGGAATATTACCAGTTACCAGGTTGTATCCCAAGAAGGCAAGAGAACAACTCATCTCTCAGAGAGAAAAGAGATTATAAAGTGATATCTAACAGACTTTTTGTGCTCTCTTATAGAACCACAGTCGGGTCACATTTGGCAGCAAAGTTATGGTTGTGTTATATTCCAGATGTGGGGTGCTTATTACCACTTTTTTGATAAGATTTTTTTTCTCGCTGCTTCTGGCAGCCTATAGTTCACAAATAGCTAGTATTTATACATGGCGCAACAATTGCAATTTATCAGGTTAGCCTGTCTCCTCACTAAATTGGGCTTGGGTGGCTATCACCAATGCAGTATAGCCTAAATTGACTTAAAGAACAACCATTATGTATCAACTGTTAGAGAAGGGAATTGTAACTGACTTAGCTTCAGCTTAGCATAAGTCTGACTCTTGCTTAGCATAAGTGCCTAAAGTAGGTGAAGCCTGCAGGCCGCAGGACTGAACTGTAACCCGAAGAACATTGCTGACGATGCGACTGCAAAATCAGCTAGAACCAGCCCTCGAGGAGACAGAACAGAGTGACCCGAATGAGCAGAGATAACTATGGCTGACCTTCGGTAAGATAAGGTACTGTGGAGCAGGAACATAGCAACGTCTAGCAACCGTCCCGGGATGTAGACGTGAACCAATCAGAGGGAAAGAAAGAGACCACCGACTCAGTAAAGAAGATTAGAAGAGACTGTCACTGGCAGGCGGGGAAGTAAGACTGTAAAAAGTATAATTACTTAAGAATTCTTTTGTTTGGGGTCCCTCCCCGGAGGCACCCAGCTCGAGCTGTTGCTCTGTCGTACCGTCATTTAATTAAATAATTAATTTGGCTGTTATATGTGTGTGAGACTCTGCTCCTCGGAAACCTAGGGTCAAACTGTTTCCACAACATCAATTGTTGCTATTTCTTATTAAGCTTACTTTGTAGTTATGGTAAACATCATTATATAAATGGTGATTCATACTGTGGTTCAAGAGGCCTATAATTCTTTAGGTGTCTTGATAAACTCTGGGACTCTTATTAGCTAATCTGGTTTGGGTGAATGATCCTTAATTTCTTTTTTTATTCTTAGTCGGGATGGAAATTCTACGATGCAGATGATTATCATTCTCCAGAGAATAAAAAGAAGATGGTGGAAGGAATATCACTAAATGATGAGGTAACTTGTATAAAACCTGAAAGAATAGCCACCAACACATTTTTCTTCATAAGCTCTGACAAATCATGTTACAGTAGGTTGTGCTTTATGTAAGGTAGGCTGACTGTAAATGCAGGCTGAATTTGTAGGGCTGCAGCTGGGAAGAGAGGGAGGATTTATATATAACAAAGAATTATGCATAAAAACAGTAGAGTCTATTAAATTATACTTGGTAGTTCACAAGTAGTTAGATGCTAGTTCAGGATTTATCAGAAATCTCTCTGAGTCAATATACAGAACTGCAGCTTTAGATTATATGTTTTACTTTGAATTAAATATACTAAGACAGATGAACTTCTCTCTCTCATGGAAGTACATTTCACCACTTTCAATTGCTACAGTAATTACTCCATAATCTTCCATTTTATACATTCCTACTTAAAATGAACTTCCTTTCCTTTAGCCTGCTGTTCAACCCAAACAGATCACATCATTGATCAAGCTTACTTTTATAAATAATATTTAGGAAATTAAAGATTTAAGTAAATTAGAAAAATTACAAGGAGATACCTCTTGAACTTTTTCTGGGAAATCTCTAGAACCACAAGGCTGAACTAGAGTGCTCTTTGAAACGCTAGCTATGGAGTGAAAAAATTATTCTAGATTCTTATTAAAAATGTTCATATTTCATTAATGGTTGGGAGTTCATATAAGCCAGTATCTCTTTTAAAGCAGCGTTGCACAATTGAATGACTAAACCTTTCTTCATTGGCATATGATGCCAAACAGGAGGGCAGTATCTCTTCTGACATATTAGCAATGCAAAATTGTGAGGGCCTTCTTGAATGGCAGTGGGAAGTTGTTCTGTAATGACAGTAACAAAAAATTGTTGCATTTATTTGTTCACGTTGTCATTTGTTGCATTCATCCAGCAGTAACTGCATTGAAAGATGAAATGGGAGCAATGGTTTAATGCTCATAGGTATGAAAAAGATACTAAGAGCTTAAAGATTAAAATTAGATTATACTGAGAATCAGATCAATCACTTGCATTGTATTTCCAAACTCTACTGAGCAAAGGTGTTGCAAAAATGTGGCTATGATTGCATTTATTTGTGATTGCTACTGACATAAAAATGATATAATTAATTTATTGCAGATAAGTACATTTGGATCTGCCTTGACACCTTGGAGTAGTTCCTGAAAGCCTCAACTTTGATCTAAAGCATTACATGAGTATCCCAAGGTGCAAAGAAAAAGAAATAACAATTCAACCTGTGTAAGCATCTATCTTAGAATAGACTTAACATTTGAATTGTCTAATAGACGCAAGAGATAAAACTGTTCTTCAAAGAACATGCTATGCATAAATACATATTACTTCCATCAGATACTTCTAGGTTTTTGTAATATAAAGAGAACAGCTAACAGAGGCAGCGAACAGACACAACACTTTGCGCAGCAGTTTGCGCACAAGGGCACCGGAAGTCACCTTCATTTCTGATCCTAGTAGTGTACGCTTCCTCAGATATGGTCATGACATGCCACAGAGCACGTTCCCCAATAGCTGTTGGAGTTGCTGCATCAGCTGTGTCTGAAGCTTCAACCCAGACAGACCCTCTGACAGCAGATGCAGCTCTACAGGTGTCAGGCTGCAGGGAGTGCCTGGGGCCTCTCCTGGGCTGACAGTCAGCTCCCCTGCAGGTGGTGTGCTGTGGTTGATGAGTTGTGTCATCAGGTAAAGGAGTTATGGGAGGAAGTCAGTAGGCTGCGTAGCATCTGAGAAGATGAGCAGGAGATAGACAGGGTATTCTTGGAGACTGTGCAGCTCCAGGAGTCCCCGCCCCCCACTGCAGTGGAGTTCAGTTCATCGTAACACTGTTGAAGAGGGCTGGAAACTGGTCACTTCTCGTAGAAGGAGAAAGGCTCTTGCTCCTCCTCAAGGTTTGCCTTTGAGGAACAAGTTTAGTGCCCTCCAGGCTGAGGAGGAGCGGGGCATGGCTCCAAGGGAGGCAACTGGCCTGCCAGACCCTGTGCTGTGCAGGAACACCTGGAAGCAGCAGTGAGTGATTGTTGTGGGTGACTCCCTGCTGCAGGGGACAGAGGCACCTCTCTGCTGACCTGACCTC